CCTTAGTTTTTCCCAATTAGAAAGTGCTTTTCATCTTGAAGGATCCCCAAAGTCTTTACTAGAGTAGAGTAAAAGTTATTATTATAGTTTTTAATCTTTTTGCTTGTTTTGTTTTAAGGCACCTCCAGGGAGGTCTTAAAAGGCCCTGTATAACACAAGCATCATTTTTATCAGCACTGCTGCTTGCTGAGCTGGGGGCGTGGGAAGAGGGGTTGTTGCTGAGGTTCTGCTCGGTGGGCTGTGTGGTCCTCCGCTCTGTGTGGCTCGGATCTCGCTGGACTGACCGCCCTCCCGACACGGAGAAAGGCGCCGTTCTGAGCAGTGAGCGCAGGCAGGCCGGGGGGGGGAGGCTCCTGGTGCTGGGCAGTGCCCATAGCTTCAGGTACAGAAAGGAGACATTGCAGTGTAACTAATGACCACAGCACTGCGCCGCAGGGCACTCCTCACTCCTGCAGAATAATAACCAAGACTACCGGAAGAACAACTTAGGTAACAACTGTATGACTGAAAAGGAAACACTACCATTTTAAAAGTTTCATATGATACAAGGCAGAGCATTAAAGCTATAAGCTTCACCCGAATTTCAACAAGTCTATTTTTATTTGGTTTCATATCTAATGTGCCGGTTTATGAGGAGCCCGTGTGCCGGTAGATTTGTGGCTAGATGGTGTACAGTAGCATCTGCACTGTCACAGCGGGATAATGGGCTCACTTTGAATGCTTCAGTGCTGCATACAGAAGGATCAGGTAATCACAACGCGTGACTTTTCTCTACACTGTTCCAGTTACCATACTGATGCCTAAATGGATTGAAAATAATCTCTATTGATTTCTCCCCCCCCCCACATCTGTTTCATTTGTTTCCAGCTCCACACAAGATAAAAAAAATACAAAGCATGCATTACCGTCTGAATGATACCTGATATTACCTTGAAAGACCTTGTCTGTTTCTCAGTGCATTTAAAAACCAAAAAGCAGGCCACTGCCTCATTCATTTTTGCACTGTAGGATTTCTGTCTGTAGGAGCTCCCAGACATTCCTCAAGAAATTAACTGAACTCGTTTCCTATACTACGTGGCACTTCTCCAAGATAAAGATTTCCAGATTTCCTCTGAAAGAGGGTTGTATAAATCAGGAATGGTGCTTTGCATTTGCAGCTTTGCAGCTTAAGGTGAAGCTGACAGGGGGAGATGTCTTCACTGTGTAATTGCTTTTGTCTCCCTCTTCCTCTTCCTCTCCACTTCCCCACTCCCCCCTTGTCTACCCTGATCCAGTAAAATCCCATTTGTGATCAAGTGCATTGATCAGTTTCCTCTCCCTTTACCTTCGCACTGTTGATGTGTCGATGCTTCAGAGGGCTGCTGCTGCAGTCTGAACACAGCACGCTGCTGTCTTTTCCTTCCTGCAACACAGAGCCACCTGGTCAGACGTCGCTTCCTTTGGGTCTCTGAGTTTAAAGGACTTAATTCAGTTTGAATTTCAACAACCTTAAAAAAGGAAAAGACAGCAGTGCCTCTACCAAAGTATAGTGCACACTCTACATATGTGTGGAAGAAAAATGAAGACTTGTGTGCAGTATATTTGTGAATTGCTTTATAGAAAAGGGGGGTGTGATGAGACAGAGCAGGGAGGCACTATAGCTAATAAAAAAACTAAAGTAAAATTAAAACAGGTCAGGATTTGCTAGGGAAAAAGTAATCATCTCTCATCTACTCTTCATATCTGTTCTGATCTCTGTAATTTACAAAACATAATTCATGTGATTTGCCCAAACAAAGAATGATTTAGCTCTGCCCCCTGGTTGACTCCAAACCCCCCATCTAAGCTTCACCTCAGTTAACATATGAAATAGGCTGAATCAATCATGACAGCGCTGTAGAGCTGGAGCCCCACTAACATCCCTGTTACAGATTTTCATTTTATGTCGGGCGTGATAAATGATATTGTCACTGGGATAGCTACACGGGCCTGATCCCCTGTGCAGAGCCCAGATTTGAAACTCTCATCGCAGTAACTACATCTGCACCGAGGATTGTGGCCAAAAGAATACATCAGTGTTTCTGCTTAGACTTAATATCTGCTTCTTACGTTTTAATCTTCTCTGTTGCACACCTGCCGTCTGCGCCAAGCTCACCAAGACAAATTCAGAGTTCATGCACAGGGATAGAAACGCCGATTCCGAGGAATAACTTGCAGTGTTGGTCAGGCGTCGTACGGCGGGCTCTGCTGGCGCGAGGCCGGGCTGGGAAAGGAGAATCTGACCGTCTCTGTGAAGTCTTCCTGTCTGTGCTTGGGGCGTGCCTCGCTCTGTGCCTTTCTGTCCCTCTAAGGCTCTCTGTGCTTCACTGTGCTTCTGTGCAGAGAGAGCTGCAGGTCTGTGCTGTCGCTTGGTGGTTCCCTGCCACAAAGGGATGCCCAGGCTAGCTGACCTGTCTGTCAAAACCAAAGACGTGTGGGAAATCCCAAGGGAGTCCCTGCAGCTCATCAAAAGGCTCGGGAACGGGCAGTTTGGGGAGGTTTGGATGGGTATGCCTATAAACCATGACTGTGTAATATACCAGAGGCTTGATGGAAGGTGGTGCGACCTCAGAAAAAAAATACAAAGTGAAAATTGGGCCATGCTGCTTGTGCATACCCAGCGCCTTCACTGTTAAGCTCGTCAGTGGAGAATTTGAGCACTCAAAATAACTCGAATAAAGAGTCTGCAAATACTCATGAAACTGTCCGACAGTTTTTAACCGGTGGGGGTATATATCTTCAGTGGTTTGAAATTGATCAAATAAAAGCCACTGCCAAAGCAACACTTTTACTAGCTCAGCTTTTAATATGCGTAGTGCATTTTTAATGGAAGGTCTTTTTTATTGGGGATTTCTCAATATGAATATCCTGCCAGGAGGAAAAGGCTGCTGGGAATGCTTTAGACCGGGTGCACACCGAGCACCTGAGCTGACTCACCTTCCATCTTCCTCTGCGCATGTCCTGTGTCATGACCATAAATCCTCTCTACCTCACCTTCATTCCCTGTAGAAAGTGCGGATGGTTTGTGCTATAATTTAACTGCAGTCTGCGAGAATTACATGCCACATATTTCGGGATTGGCTCGAGATGCATGGGAAATCACCAGGGAATCTCTTAATTTGGAAACAAAGCTGGGGGCAGGCTGTTTTGCTGATGTTTGGTGTGGTAAGGCAAAACAATGTTCCTTTTTTCTAAGCATTTTGCTGTTACATTTTTAAATGACGGTGTTTAAATGCAAGATACCTGACAGTGTCAGAACACCTCTGAGTTACCTTTTCTGATATTTCTTAATCACTTTTTTTTATAAATGTTTCTGTCTCTCACTGTCATTTGCCCAGTTCTTAGCAATCTCTCCTCCTCTCACTTTTATTCTAATTCTATTATTAAGGCCCAATAAGAGATGTTTTGGGCATTTTCTAGTAACCTGTGAGTCAAATCACTCCTGTGTTCCATAATTGAAACACAGTCTAACACAACGCAAGCAATTGCTTAGCTTTCTGAAGCCCCTCCTGCTAAGGTCACTGACATGTTAGATCTTTGACTTGAATGAGTCTTAACTTTTACACTGGATACAGCAGTTCTGTAGAAATCAAAATAAAAACATGACTCAGTCCTCTTAGCGCACCAACCTTCTGCCTTGCATTGAAACATCAGGAACTCCTTTTAAATCTAAACCATCGTATGATTTTGCTTGCCTAAGGGATTAGATATTTTAAAAGTTTAAAGATGGACTGACCAGAAGTTGCTTATAATGGTATGAAACATGCAGTGCTCGATTATATCATCATATAGTGTTTGAGCTGATGCAGCTTTCTTACAGGATAACAAAGAGAACAAACAGAGGAATGATTTTTAGTCAGTTGTAGATTCATCTTCACAGCAAGTGTCTTACTGTACATACAGTACAGTACCACTACAGCCCAGCCAGTGTTGCCCAGATTTACAGTACATACCGGCCCTGTATCAGGGAGGAGCTTTTTAATTATTTGCATTTATTCATCTGATGGAGATATTTTACTCCCAACAAGTTTTAAAGTTTAGCATGCAGTTATTTTATTTTCCTGAACAATGTGCGCTAGTCAAATGATGCTTTTCTTACCCTATCGCAGTTAGATTCAAAGAATGATTATAGCATAGAAAGATTTCTTGCGCTTAAGAAAGATGAGACATTAAGCCCGTCCACTGTCCCCTTTGATAGCTGGTAGCTACTTGAACCCAGGGTTTCATCCAGCCATCTCTTGAAAGAGTCCAAGGCAACTGGCGGGATAGCTTGTTCCACACTGCCACATCCCTTTGTATAAAGCTGTATAGAGCGGTTCTGAAGGTATTTTACTTCAGAGCCGAGACGTAAATTAAAGAGGTGTGGTTGCATAACATACAGTCAACTCTGCAATATCTAGTCACACTGTCAGTGTCCAGAAAGACAGCAATGATTCATGTTTCAGTACTTAAACCCAAACACTTGGGCAGCATATTCATCGGAACAGCTAAGACTTTCTATTATCAGCACTGTGTTCCAGAAATGGTGCATCCGAAGCTTAGGCAAGCAAATTCAGAGTCGTCCAGCATGAAACGCCGTGGTGTTGGGCTTGCGAACTGTGTGATCAGCATGGCTGATCGCTGCACGTGTGGTGAATGACAGGGACGTGGAACGGAACCACGAAGGTGGCGGTGAAGACGCTGAAGCCCGGCACGATGTCCCCGGAGTCGTTCCTGGAGGAAGCCCAGATCATGAAGAAGCTGAGACACGACAAGCTGGTGCAGCTGTACGCTGTGGTGTCGGAGGAGCCCATCTACATCGTCACGGAGTACATGGGCAAAGGTCAGTGTGCAGGCGCTCCTGCCATCAGCGGCGCAGCTGCCTGACCGCGCAGCTCTGACAACAGCGGAGACTTGTGTCAGGACAAACGAAGGACGGCAGATCGTTTCTTCACCAGTCCGCTTAAACACCACGCTCCTGGGGACCAGCTGCCAGATTCTGAACGCAGACAAAATGGCAGTTAATCTGAAAGGGAATGTGGGGAGTTACCGTGGCGTCAAGGGAGAAAATATGTCAAATGTAAGGGTGTCCTGTGAAGAGAACGGTCAAGAAAAGTAGACGTCTCATAATGTAAATAATGTGCCACAATCGAGAGATGGATAAAACCCCATAGAAAATGAAAAAGGGCTGGCCTTTTTTAAAAACCAAGTCTAATTTTCTTAACTAACAATTGGTTTGCAGCTTATCTGAAACCTGATACGAGAGCAAAACTAGTCCTCTGCCCTGTTTTCCTTTTTCTATTGAAAAACTTTCTCAAATTCAGTAATTTATTCCCTCTTCTTGATTATTATGTTATATTAGTTTTCCATTTTGTTCATTGCTGGATTTGCTGAATGTGTAAAAAGCAGGATTGAGGTTAGTTTTTTGTATTTCCTTTTCTCTTTGTATGTACCTGTTTGTATGTATCTGTCCACAGACAATCTGTCTGTGTGTAGGATACATCATAGAGTTTCCCAAGATGTATTTTAGCGAATTAAAATACATCTTTGAATGCCTCTCTTTCTACCATGTTATCTTGATTTTTATTAAACATCTTATAAACAGGTACTGTACCTATTAGTCATGTCTAACAAATTAAAATGATTTTAAGGACAAACATTTTCACCGCAAGATGTGTCATGTTGACATGACCAGTACAGATTGATAAAGTTGAAGTACCTGGGATTGAAAAAATACTTTGCATCTGTATATACGGGCCTGAAACAATTTCAGGCTCCTAAATTTCTTTACAATCCAGTCATGTGAAGAAGGAAATTATATGTGATTTTTTTTCATATTCTTAGAATGGCGTAATACCAAACATTTGGGAATGATCATATTGTGGGATACAAAATAGAATATTCCAGATAAAGTGTGTAACAAGCACGACTAATCTCTGTGTATGTGGCCTGTGTTTTTTTATCGTGCTATGTTGCAAAACATTTTTAAATGAGAGACTTAGAGACTGATATATAAAAATAAAGTCAGCCTTCAGGGATTTAAATGTTTTGCCTCTGATATGTTTTACATTGAACACATTGTTCTGCAGCATCTGGATGTTGAACATCAAAATTACCAGAGGTTAGTAAAGCCTCTAGCTACTGAAGCAGACATTTATGTCTACATTCTTTTGACTAGAAGTGCATGAACAGTGGTACTTAATGTTAAAAATAACTGTTTTAACAAATCAGGCTTAAGCAGCTGTGATTCTGCTGGTCTCAAAACTGAGGCACCTTTATTGTCACTGTCAGTGTTATCAGTATAGAGATGTTTCTGGGGCTTTCTGCTCAGAGACTTATTGTAATCTAAGCTTTTTTACTGCTGTTGAAGTGATTTTCGTGATCTGTCACATTTTACTGAGTCGAAAATGCACATGCAAATAAGTGTAACTTAACTGCTAAATTTCTTTACAAATATACCATATTATGCATAGCAAAGACAGTCTACAGAACAGTACATATTTTAAGGAAAGGTTGGTGCGATCATTTAAAAACACCTGTGCAATTTCAGGAAGCTTGCTAGATTTCCTAAAGGACGGAGAAGGACGAGCACTGAAGTTGCCAAACCTTGTGGACATGGCAGCACAGGTGGGCTTTTCTTACTGTTCCAGTAGGGAGCTGCATCAGCATGCGTAGGCCGCAAAGGAACAGGTAAAGGTTTCTTCCAGGCTGAAAAGAGAAGAAAAGAAACAAAACCTTTCGGCTGTGGAGCCTTCTTCGGGGGCGTGACACCCAAAGACACACCCGAAGAAGGCTCCACAGCTGAAACGTTTTGTTTCTTTTCTTCTCTTTTCAGGATGGAAGCAACCTTAACTTGTTCCCTTGCAACAAAATACTTTTACACCTTGCGTTATAGTCAAGGTACCATTCTAGGCACAAACTCTGTTAAATATTTTCTTGGAAGTGGCCCATGTGGAAATAGATACCAATGGAGATGTGATACCAAAGAAGATCAAGTTCACTAACATTGTTAAATATGCCAGAAAAACAGACTGGCATATTTAACAGTATACCATACCATCTTTTCAACATGGAGTAAACCTTTACTTGTTCCTTTTCTTACGGTTGCCTATTGTAAATCACAGTGAAAGCACCGTTACAGTGTACAGTAAGTGAAAACATGTGTGATCACCTAGTGAGTAAAGTGCTGTAGACAGCACCTCATTCTGTGCTCTGTATTCCTTCCTGCAGATTCTCCCACCTCCAGGCATGGCACAACATTGTGACAGTCAGGAAAGATTGCACTGTACATTTTATTCAATCTTGATTTTATTAACACAATGCTTGCGGCGGGAACATTAAGATCTCCCACAGTTTTCCTTCTTGTTTAGCGCAGGCTTTTCAGATCTCCAAATATAATCGGTATTTCCGGAGGTAATGTGGTGCGTCCGATGTGTTTCCCCACGCAGGTTGCGGCTGGCATGGCTTACATCGAGAGGATGAATTACATCCATCGAGACCTGCGATCAGCCAATATCCTGGTAGGGGACAACTTGGTGTGTAAAATTGCGGACTTCGGCTTGGCAAGGCTGATCGAGGACAATGAATACACCGCTCGACAAGGTGAGGGTCGTGCTTTTCATTCTCAGCCAAACGCGGGTATCTGAGTCAGTTGTGTGCTCTGCTACGTGCTGTTGGAGACATTCATCTACGTCTTGGTGCTGTCTATTAATGAAATGTGAATATTCGCAAACTATAATACTAAGATTCTAATTCTATTAGACAATCAAATCTTAAGACTAATTAAGATGGAGTTTGTAGTCTTATCTCTGTGTATTTTCATGTAATTCTACTGTATAGTTATGTACTGTGCACACTGCAGAGCCATGAAGACTCCAGCTTTGGATGAACTTCTGTGATTAACTGAGAATGGATCTCCAGACTTCTGTGTAAAAATGCCATTAGAATTTTATTTGGCTTGCATCGTTATTCAAGGTTATGTCATCATCGCAAAACCAAATTGAATTTATCTTCACAATCAGCCTCGTTAGCGGACAAGGCTCTTGAATTAACAGACTGCATTAGAACACAAAGTGGAAGCCCACTGTCTTCTAGTGATTGATTGCTAATTCAAGCTCTCGAAGTGTGTTTTACATGGGACTGTTTCCACGTCTCCCCCTGGTTTACTGATTGCACCTCTGACGCTCCCTGTGTTTATTCTAGGGGCAAAGTTCCCAATAAAATGGACGGCCCCAGAAGCTGCGCTGTATGGGAAGTTCACAATCAAATCGGACGTGTGGTCCTTTGGGATCCTGCTGACAGAGCTGGTGACAAAGGGACGAGTCCCCTACCCAGGTGGGCATCAAAGTGTCTGCTTTTCTCTGTGTGGTGCTGCAGAGCAGCTGCAATACATCCGAATCGCTAGATAAAACGCATCTCCCCTCCGGGCGGCACAGTGGTGCAGTGGTGAGCACTACTGCCTTGCAGCGCTGGGGCCCAGGGTTCAATCCCGGGCCTGGGGTGCTGTCTGTGTGGAGTCTGCATGTTCTTCCCGTGTTCATGTGTGTTTCCTCTGAATGCTCCGGTTTCCACCCACAATCCAAAGACATGTGGACAGTTTAAAAGGTTACATAGATTGTAGCATTTTTTATTGGATGTATTAAATGTGTATATATCATAGTCTAATGTTTTGTGGCAGTATAAATGGCTATTTCCCAAAAAAGTAAATTTAATAGTTTTTGGGGATTGTCTTGTATTTTATCATTGAACAAGTAAGAAAGTAAGTAAGAAAGAAAACAACGATTCGGCCATGGAGGTGTCTATGAGTGTGAGACACCAGCAGGAATACTTACCTTCAGATACAGAGCTGATGTCCTTGATAGTGAACTCTAAATATAGGCACTTTTAAACTTATTTTTCAAATATGTAGTTTGATAGAAATAGTATATTAGACACCTGTAAGAGCTTCCAATGGACCTGAAAGATTAAGCTAACAGACTGAGACATGCACATTTTTTCCTGACTTCTGCATTTGATTTTATAATACTTAACTCCTACTGAGCTAATAAACCTCTCCTCTGAGTAGTCCTCTTTAGAAAGTGCTCTGGAGGAATCCTTTAAAAATACCCTCATGTCTTTCAGTCGTAAGATGCTTTCTGTCTCTCTTTGCTCACTCTCTCTGATACATATTCTGCTAAGCCATAAATTACCCGAGCTTGTATATTACTTTTAGGGTTAGACTATTTAAGTTGTGTGCTTGTTTTTCATAACATAACATAACATAACATAACATAACATAACATAACATAACATCACTTTATTAGCCCTATACAATTTCTTGCATTAGGAATTCGTCTTTTCGCATACCCCAGCTTGCTCTCCATGAGACACAGACAGGGAGAGAGGCCTGGGGTCAGAGCACAGGGTCAGCCATTGTACAGCACCCCTGGAGCAGCTGGGGTTAAGGGCCTTGCTCAGGGGCCCAAAGGAGTAGGATTCCTCTGCTGGCTGCGGGATTTGAACTGGCAGCCTTCCAGCCACAGGCGCAGATCCTGAGCCACAGAACCTATATCATATACTGTATACGCCTAATCAGTCAAAGTAAACTGATCTGGGGGCTCCTGCATGTCTCAGTGGCTCTTGCTCAAGCTCAGGCTGGGCTGTGTAATAAAATAATAATATAAACTTTATTTCATATAGCACATTTAAAACTGGACCTCAAAGAGCTTTACAGAAAACAATATACCATGAGAGGAGACAGAATCACACAGTTACAGTGAGTGTTTGGAATACAGTAGGAAAGCAAAAGGGCGGATACAGAACCAGTTCAGTAAAAGCTCTTCTAAACCAGAAGGGTTGGAGTCTGGATTTGAAGAGCCCCAGGTAGGCGACTCTCTGATATCCCTAGGGATAGGACTCCAGAGCTCTGGAGCACAGCAGGAGAATCCCAGTCACCCGTCGAGTGTAGACGGGCATGGGGCACAGACAGGAGACCAGAGTCAGATGAACAACGGTTGTGAGGTGGGGAGTAGGGCAACTGTAACTCAGACAGGTACTGAGGCGCTGAGCCACGCGGAGCCTGATAGAGGACCATGAGGGTTTGAAGTCGACATGAAATCTGATAGGAAGTGCAGGGACTCCAGTACAGAAGGAATTGCACTAGACCTGGTCGGGATTCTGGACAGACTGTAGTTTGTTCAGTGTGGATTTACATACCCCAGCGAGCAGGGCAGTATCTTCAATTCAGGAGAAGACTATAGCCCAGAGATTGCTGGTTTGAGCTCAGATTAATTGGAGAAGGCTGTCTAAGCTGGGCATTAGTTATTGATGAAACGGCAACTTCAAGCATAACATTTGTAACATATTGATATTTATAACATGAAATAATCAGAACTTGAATGCTTAAAGGGGCAGTAAGGTGGTGCAGTGGTTATCATTGGCCCTGGTGTGTCTGTGTGTGTCTGTGTGTCTGTGTGTTTGTGTGTGTGTGTCTGTGTGTGTTTGTCTGTGTGTGTCTCTGTGTTTGTCTGTTGCTTGCCTGCCTTGACGTCAGTTCCCCCCCCAGCCCGAATTGGATAAAGCAGTTAGAAAACGGTTGGATTATCACAACCTCTGAAACTCAACACTTTCGTGGGTTAAATTTAAATGACAACAGAAACTTCAAAGCAAAGTCAGTAATATTTTTTTCACTACGATTTATTGCCAGACCGATTGTCTCTTTTATTTTATTTTCTTGGTTCATTATTGAATGAAATCATGTGTTTTGTCCCAGTACTGGTTTTTGCAAATGCCTTTATGGGCGGATTCTGTCTTCAGCACTGTGTTTCTCGCGCAGCGGATTTCCCTGCGTGCAGCGGGCGCTTTGAAAGGTATGTCAGGCCGGAACACAAGCCGGGCATCAGCAAGAGAGGCGCCTCCGGCAGGGCAGGGCGACAGGCTGGCGCGTCAGAGGAGGGGGGGGGGGTCGGCCGAGTCTCAATACACGTGGCCTTTCCCTGTAGCTTGGGCGGCTGTTGAAAAAGCTCTCCTGCTCCCCTGTGCGCAGGCATGAACAACCGGGAGGTGCTGGAGCAGGTGGAGCGTGGCTACAGGATGCCCTGCCCGCAGGACTGCCCCAGCTCCCTGCACGAGCTCATGGTGCAGTGCTGGAAGAAGGACCCCGAGGAGCGCCCCACCTTCGAGTACCTGCAGGCCTTCCTGGAGGATTACTTCACAGCCACCGAGCCCCAGTACCAGCCCGGGGACAACCTCTGAGCCCCCCCCCCGCGACCCCCCTCCCCACGCCCCCCTGGCTGGGCCCCGGAGCCGTGGGCTCCAGGTGCATCGTGTCGCTTGGCGGGGCCGCGATGGACCGTCCCCAGCAGGGAGGGCTGCCTGTACAGTGACTGCCTGTGTATCGGACGTGCGCAGCTTCCAGTGTCACACACACACACACACCATTGCCACTGTCCGGAGACACCCAACCCATTCTGTTCCGACGAGACTGACTTAAAAAACACTGGGATCGCGAGGTGCTTGAGGTGCGTTCGAGGGAGGGGAGGAAGGACGGCAGTGATGGGGATGACAAGATGCCTGTATTCAGTGTAAATATTAATTGCTTGTTTACTTATCCCTTGTGTTTTTTTTCCTGTCTTTTTTTTTTAATAATAATAATTTTAAAATAATGCGCCTGCAGTCCTCTGGGAGACCCACAGTCCTGGGGCGAGCCAGACCCAGTGCTCTTCCTCGGCTTGTAGCCACCCTCGTGTCCTTCCCGAGCGGCGGGGGTGGGTGTCGCTTTGGTTCAAAAATAATAATGCTGCATTTTCACAGAACAGAAAGTACCCTTTTTCCCCCGTTAAGCTTTGTTGCCGTGCTGCACGGGTTTTCCCTGTCGCGTCTGCTTCTCCTTCGGCCGCCGCTCACACTCGCTGGCGCAGACCCCGGCCAAGCATGCCCACGCCCTCCCCTCGTTTTGCACTGCCTTTAAGAAGCTAAGATCTGTTTTTTTGTTGTCGTTTTGTTTTTGTTGAATTGCTGTTACTTCTTAAAGTCATAGGTGTTAGGCTAATGCTGTAACAAAGTTATTTTACAAATAATGTATGTTACATTTTGTAATAGCAGCCAAATGTGCAAGAATGATTCTTTTAAACATATCTCTCTTAGAAGGTTAAACACAGCCTGGCTGGTAAAATGGCCACCATTTTAACTGGAATGATGGAAGATTGCTTCCTGCAACAGTCATGTAGACTGAAATGACATGTGGTTTATTTAAAATAATGTATTATTACAGTTTAATGGTCTTATTTTACCTTGTATACAGAGTAACATTTAGAGTCATTCCAACTTGTCTTACGTCCTTGTTTACTTAATTTTAAGCATAACGATGTAAAAAAGAGAAGTGTTTACAAATAATGTCTCCTGCTGTAGGCAGTGGGTTCTCTTTGCTGTGCACCTCAGCCATCCTGCTTCTCGTTGAGTTACAGTACTATGCACTCCTTCATCAGACTTTCTTTTGCTTCACTGACCATGGATATCAAATCTAAATTTTGTTACATTATACACATTTAACCGAATCTGACATTTCTAGGGAGCACAGTTTTGTTCTTACACTGTTTTGCTTTCTTTGTCGGTTTGTTTTTCAGTCCCACACACAGGGGTATCGGGGTATCCATTATGGCCATGTTGTTTCTTTTTTCATTTTTAACCTTCGATAACACAGTTACTGTCATTTAAAAATAAGAACAATAAACATTTTACACTGTTTCCAATTTTATTATTAATTTGTTTTTCCAGTACAGGGCATTTCCTGTGCGACTCAAAAATGGAAGGGAGGCCTCCTCACTTTCTCAGAGGCTTGCTGAAATATCGAATACATAGCAAGACAAAGTTTTACTTGGGAACAGGCCTCGGCCTGGCTGTGTGGTTATTATGGAATAGTGATCCCCCACCCTGCAGCTCTGTTTGCGCCCGCTGGGGCCTCGGCAGCGACAGAGCGAGAGGCGCGTCCCTCACCTCGTGCTGGCGAGAGCCCCCACTGACCGCCACTAACGGATAAACAGGATAATAATAATACCGTACACTGATATACTGTAGCACTTTTCTGGACACTCCACTTAGAGCTCTTTACAATAATGGGGATCCCCTTCACCACCACCAGTGTGCAGCCCCACCTGGATGATGTGACAGCAGCCATAGTGCACCAGTACTCTCCCCACACACCAGCTATCAGTGGGGAGGAGAGCTGAGTAATGAAGCCAGTTCAGAGATGGAGATTATAAAGAGGCCATGATTGGTAAACAGGGGGAAATTTGACCGGGACGCCAGGGTAACACCCCTACTTTTTTTTAGAAACACCCCGGGATTATAATGACCAAAGAGAGACAGTTTTATATCTCATCTTAAGCACAGACAGTCTAGTATCCCTGTCACTATACTGGGGCATTAGGACCCACAAATATCGCAGGGTGAGCGCCCCCTGCTGACCCCACTAACACCACTTCCAGCAGCAACCTTAGTTCAGGAGTCTACCATCCAGGTACTGGCCAGGCTCACACCTGCTGGGCTTCAGTGGGCTGCCAGTTGTGAGCTGCAGGGTCATGTGGTTGCTGGTTAAACAGTGACACACAAGCTTGAAGGTGGAAGTCCATTAAAAACCAAGAGCAGGAGGTGCTTCTTTACACAAAGAGTGGTGGGAGCCTGGAGCAAGCTGCCCAACCATGCTGTTGAACCCATTCCATAATGTTTTGACAAGATGAGATGCTGAGATGAGAAGATGAGATGATGAGATGCTTTGACCTATTAACTACTACGCAGCGGGTCAGAAGGCCTCCTATTGCCTATAACCTTTGTTACATTCTTTACCTCCCTAAAACTCACAATTTGCCTTTCCTTCTGCTTGATCCTGTGGCAGTGCCCCCTGTTCCTCTTCTAGTCGAGATTCATGGATCTCAAATTCAGTGGGATGCCGAGTGTGTTTTCAGTTAATAGTTACAGTCCTGTAAAAGGTTTCCTTCGGCCACCTGGAAGAAGCAGAGCCTTGCGTGACCCGGAGTTTAAAGAAGGCGTCGCGCAGCCTGAAGCTTTACTGAGCATCGGCTTCATGGGCCCGTACATCTCCTCTCATGGGGAGGAGCATCTGTGACAGCATCACCGGGATTTTGAAAGGATTATCAAAGCAAAAGTACTCTTTCAGATGCTCTTTCAAAACATCGCTCTTACTTTCAGATGCATTCATCTCGTACAGGCAGCCCACTGGGAGTTACAGCACCTAGTGGGCTGCACTGATAGGAACCCTCACTCCGCACACTCAAAACAAGCAATTAGTCAGAGCAAACCAAGATGACAGCCACCCCTGATGATGACTGACAGACAGATACAAGACCTCAATTCTCACCTCTCAGTTTTTATCCCATTGAAATGATTTAGCCAGGCCACACTGTTATAGAGCACAACCTACAGCCGAAACACGTTTTTTTGTATTGCTAGTACAATCACAGAGGTTCTACGAGACACGTAATTGTTTTGTGCTAGATGGAGTGTCCCCATTGTCATGATGATACTTAAGGCTGTTTTCGCAGTATGCTCAGGGCTACATAAAACTGAATTCTGTTACGAACTAAAATTGCTTTCCTTGGTTCAGTGAGCCCCTTAAGCTCTTTTTCTTGGATACGTCAAGCCTAAAACAGCATGCAGTGGCTGTGTACAGAGGAATCTGAAAGAAGTAAAAACACTAACCCCGTACTGATATTGGAGCTTGATTTGTTTTGTAATATACTGTGATTAACCATTAATTAATCTGTTATCTGGATCATTTGAGTCTGATCTGCTAGCTTATGTATTGTGAATCATCTTACACCTTGTATGGTGTAATCACTGAAGTATTAATTGTTTCAAACGTTTTCTTAACATTTATTAAATTGATATCTAGGAGGATGATGAATGGCCTTATAATCCACTAGCAGAATATTAAATACAATATCACTTATATTCTTGATTCCACACTTACTATTTCTTGTCCTTTTCACATTCTGTAGAAGACAAAAATCGATGCCCACATGCAATAGATATCTCAGTCTTTCTTAATTGGTTCCTTAAAGCTCAGGTTCCCACTTATATTTATAGTTTCTGCTTCCTACATGTAGCACTCTTTTCCTGTCAACATTAAATATTGTCTGCCAGATGTCTTAACAGCCTTTCATTCTATTTAAATCTTTGAATTTTCCTTTGAATTTCCTGTATACTTTCTACTGCATTTGCTATTTCTCCTTCTTTGATGTTGTCTACAGACTTGACAGTTTACTAAATACCAGCATCTAGATCACTGTTAATTGTAATTCATGTATTTTACCAGGTAAGCCAATTAACTTCTCATTTACAGTTCCTGTAATTTAATATGACAACCTTGTGACCCATTTTTTTTCCCAGCAAGACGTTTTCTGGATTAATATAAGTGAAGTTCTTTGCTCAGTGGTACAACAGAAACAAGCCCACATCCCAACCTTGTGGTCCAGAGTACCCACATGCTGCTGTCCTGAAAAAAAGAAAATGCTGTTGAATTACAGTGAAGTACTGGCCAGGAATCACACCCAGGTCAACTGCTCGGAATGCTACTGTGCTGCCCACACAGACAAACATGGATATGAATTAGGAAGAGCAGTGGCCTTATACATATATACTGTATACATATACTTATATAATCCTGCTAATCACATCACACGAAAACTGAGCATTTACTGCTTATCTGTGCTTTCTGGTGTGCATTCAGTCGGCTTTTCTCAATCCAAATAGGCTAGTTCCTGGAATGACTAATACCACCAGTCTGAGAATTAATCTTTTATGGGGAACTTTATCAAAAGACTCCCAAACCTTTAACTATATCATGTGCTCTGTGAGTGTCCAACAAGTTAGTGAAGCGAGGCTTTGTTGAGTATCCCAAAGCATCCTTCTTCCATGCGGATTATCCCGTCTGTCTGATCATCATTTCCATGGCCTTGCCAGGAATTCAAGTATCGCTCTATAATTACTCGGTTTGGTTTTGTCACCTGTTTACTGGATGGGTTAATAGTCAACGAATTAAAAATTACTTTTAAAAAAACATCAGACTCCATACTGTAATTATTCAGTGAGAAAACAGTGTGTCTTGGAATACAACCTTGTAATTAAAGTCATTAATTCTGTTTATAAAAACATTGAAATGCTATCATCATTACCACATTACTGTGTATTATGAAGCGCAGTAACTAACTGTGGCCACTAGAGGGTCTCTCAGCCTTTGTTCAATAAAAAGGGATATTTCAGTCTGCTCTTAATCAAGACTAAAAAACAACTGAATGAATCATGGAAGGTTAATAAAAACACATGATCATGATGGCTCAGTGGTTTGTTTTCACCTTTGCAGTGCTGGAGCCCTGGGTTCAATTCCTGGGGTGCTGTCTGTGTGAAGTTTGTACATTCTGCTCTTGTTCATGTAGGTTTCAATTCAATTCCTTACAGTTATATAACACTACATATCAAAATCAAATCAAAGTTTATTTATCAAATCCACAACAATACGACATGCAGCAGTAGTTGCTGGCAATGAAATGTCTTTTTCTGCGAGCTCACAAAAATTACAAGAATCACAAAAATCACAAAAATTCACAAAAACACAAAAATCACAAAATTGAGGTTACATTTTTTAAATTGAATAAAACTCAATGTGAATAGAGCTGTTATGTGTCCATGGTGTATGCAATATATACATGTAGTGCAGTTATGCTGAATAAGTGAGAATTGTGTGTCCATGTAGCCATTACAGGTGATTTGCTAAGGAGCTATATATATATAGCAATTCCTTACACTTATATATTCTGGACACTCCACTCAAAGCGCTTTACAAGTAATGGGGATCCCCTCCACCACCACCAGTGTGCTGCCCCACCTGGATGATACAACAGCAGCCATAGTGCGCCAGAACGCTCCCCACACACCAGCTCTCAGTGGGGAGGAGAACAGAGTGATTAAGCCAATTCAGAGATGTGATTATTAGGAGGCCATGATTGGCAAAGGCCAGTGGGAAATTTGGCCAAGACACCAGGGTTACACCCCTACTCTTTCCGAGAAACACCCTGGGATTTTTAATGACCGCAGAGAGTCAGGACCTCGGTTTTACGTCTCATCCGAAGGACAGCGTCTATTTACAGTATAGTGTCTCCGTCACTATACTGGGGCATTAGGACCCACACAGATTGCAGGGTGAGCGCCCCCTACTGGCCCCACTAACACCTCTTCCAGCAGCAGCCTCAGCTTTCCCAGGTGTCTCCCCTCCAGGTACTAGCCAGGCTCCCCCTGCTGAGCTCCAGTGGGCTGTGAGCTGGGTGAGAGCGCCCCCTGCTGGCCCCACTCACACCTCTCCCAGCAGCAGCCTCAGCTTTCCCAGGAGTCTCCCCTCCAAGTACTGGCCAGGCTGAGCTTCAGTTATGAATGTCAGGGTGATATGGCTGCTGGCTCCCCGGTTTCCTCTAGGTGCTGTGGTTTCATCACACAGTTCACAAATATACTGGTAAGTTACTCAGCTTCTGGGTACATTGGCTCTGGTGTGAGTGTGTCAGTCCTGTGCTGGACTGGCGTCCTGTCCAGGGCGTTCCCTGTCTTGCCCCCGTTGCTTGCTGGGATAGACTCCAGCTCCCCTGTGATCAAGTGGTTCGAAAAGGGGCGGATGGATGATCGTGGACGTGTTTTTTTTCTGAATTAAAAGCTCATTTGAAACAATTTTAACTCTTTTATAACAAGGGAACAGGCACTTGTCCTGTACGCATCATTCCCTATCATCCCCCCACTCACAGCATTGCATTGGTGTTTTTGTAAATTTATATAGAGAAGGTGCCTTTTTCATCGGTTCTTTTTCATTTGCCCCATCATCCCAAGGTGAGTGCTTCTTTTGCACTCAAAGCGTAAAGGGTAATAAAAATAAAATGTTCTGAAAAAAATTGTTGAGATTTGGTTGCCATGGAAAACATAACAGAAAACTACAATCAATTTTGTTCAACAACATCTAAAACATCACAGCAATCGATTCCAGAGCATAAACCTGATGATAAATCTTTACTCCTGCCTGTGCACTATCGACCTGTCATCTGCCTGATTACTCAGTCCTGCCCGAGTTGTGCCTCATTATGGATCTGTACACGTTTATTCAAACACGGACACTTTCAGAGTCATATCTTGTTTATGAGCAACTGACTGCTCGAACCACTTATTACACATGGACGGTCTGAGAAACCTTGCAGGTTGCCAGACTGGCTGGATTTTGCAGTAATAACTCCAGAAGGTAAGTACGACAGTTTTCCCTTCGTGTTTCAAGTTTCAGCTTTAGAGAAGTTCCACTGTCACTCTTGTGGACATTCTCAAAGGCCGGAGTAATGAAGTTTCAAGTAATGAAAGTAAGTGATGTATTGATGTAAGATTAAGAACAGTACTAATTATATATAAACGCCGCCAGCGTTTCACAAAGGCCACTTCTGAGTTGTGTTTTAGGAATGCCTCAACTTTTTGGTGACACCTTGTTTACAGTACAAATATTTGCAGCGGTAAGTTTGAACATATGTGTATGAAGTCGCAGACAAGAAAAGCAGGTATCTGGTAAAAATCAATTCTTGAATTGTGTCGGCTGGATTCGAGAAGAAAGCATTACTATTACAATATAGCTGCGTATAGAGCAATATAGCTGATGACTATTTAAAGCTTAGAAATATCTAAACTGCTAGTGTAACCTGTCAATACTAGATTCTAATAAACCTGAATTCTATACCAGTTAAACTTTCTCGTCTCGTTATTCGGTGTCTTATTATTTTCCTTTTCATTAAGGTTACTATTTTCAGTTAGGAAAATACTTAATGTAAGTCAATTATAGCACTTTAGGAGTGAAAGTGCGTTTCGTCTCTTAACAGAGAACGCTTGACACGGGAGTTCGTGAGTGCGAGTACTGTACCTGTTCCTGTTCACCTTAGTTCACACACCAATGCTGACAGAAATCTTTTGACTCTTTCTTAACGTTACCATTGAAGACTAACGCTACAAAAGGGAGGGAAAAAATGAAACTTTATGCAGGTAAAAATGTTAGAGATTTAGGAGGTCGGAAAACCGAAATCTATGTGCGTACAAGTGTACGCCTGCTGTCGTGTTCATCATTGCGAGAGTGGGAATCGTCCACTGACAGGAGATAAGGATCTGTTGTTTTTTATGTAATAAGTCAATTACAGATACAGTTTCGCCTCTCCACCGTTAAGCAGACACTAGGAACAGATGGTCAAGTCTTCGCTAAGTGTCCGGCTGAGAGGACTGAAACGTTCTTGCGTCAATATTTGCTCAAACTATGCGAGGTACACAGCTGACAACAGGACACGTTTCACCGGCTGTGGAATAAATGGGAAAAATATACATCCCTATGACACATTTCAGGGATTGAGACTCCGTATCTTTCCAAGTACGTTTTTGTTTGTTTATCAATAAAATAAAATAAAAACCAACACGACTGTTAAAGCAAAGCCATGGTGTAAGGCAAAAAACAAAATCATAAAAACTCCCAGACTGAAATAACCGAGACCCCCGCTGTACTGTATGTTATTTAACTTAAATTTCAAAACGAATGCTTTGCTGCCTTGAACACAGACGTTTTGTTTTTTCGCCTTCCACGCAGTTAAACGTATGCATATGACTATCAATTAGACTAGAGATTTAATTGCAAAACGTAATTTTTAAAGAATCCGCTAGACAAATAATATTCATTCTTAATGTTTGATTTCAAGAAACCTTTCGTTTGAAACTGTAATAACTTTCAGTTGCCTTTGGGTTGTCAGTTTCCTTGTAAAGGCTAAGATCTTCGTTTTTTGCCTGCGTTCAGTGGATCGCTGCTCCGCACTTTGTCACCATCACTTTGCCCAAACCTGCCTCTAGAGGAGACTGATGAGAACTCTGTATTTCTTCATTAAAACGTTTTTTTAACCGTTTGTACATTATTTTAACTCAATACCATGCGGTTACGTCTTTTAGAAGTTTTACATTCACAAGAAAGAAAAAGTTTAAATGCTCATGTTTTATTTTTAATTAAAACTCTCCTGAAACCGATGCCTTGTGAACTGTATGATGATTCGGTATGATATGAGGATTTTGATGATTGTCAGATAAGCCGATGATAGAAACCCAACAGAGAGTATGGTTAGATGATGAAAGGTACAGTATGTGTATACCTGGATCACACCAGACGCCAATCCCTTACAGGACACACACGTATTAACGTTCATTCATTTTCTAACTGCTCTGGCGGTAAACAACAGGCACAAGTCCATCACAGGAC